ATTAATTAGAATATTTAACTAATTTATATATTATATAACATGTTAATACAAGCATTGTGACTCAGGAGACTGTTTTTATGCTAAGAGCATTTTCAATGCTCTTCAGCATGTTGCTGTCGCCCCTGGCCCTGAGTATCTGTACTTCGTTTTCATTGGTTCATAAATCGAAAGTTTACTCCTACTCCATCTGCCGGACATTACCGTAATCATTGGATTATCGCCCCTACAAGTTGCTGATGCTAGTCATTAAACGAAACAACCTTATCAACATTTTCTTCATTACTTGTACATCAAGAAAACGTTTTGTGTTGTGTATTAATGATAACCAGGCATCGAAATTTGTAAATACAATGACAAAGACTCACGTTTTATGGTGGTAAATTTTGCGAGGCGATGCCAATATGGCGGCTGAACTTTCTTTTCCGCGCGATGCATTGTGGGTGTCATATCTTTCTTTTTTTTTGGGGGGGGAAAATTTTCATCCCGTTTAATACTGTTGAAAACTTTTGTAAATATTGAAATATGTAGTTGAAAATAAGAATGAAACTAAAATAAGAATGATTTAGAGTAGCATAAAATTTTGACGGAAACAGCCGGGGTGCTCGGTGCTGCCCCGGAAAGAAGACGGCGGCTGAAAGAAGATGGTGGGTAACTTATGTAGTTAAGTATCACTATATATATATATATGCTGAATTTAATGTCAATACCTATACTGAACTAGCAATTGCATTTTTTGCAACAATTCATTTGAAATGAGCCATCGCATGTATTGAATTTAGGCTTGACGGCGACGCGCAAGCTGGGCACTGCCGCCATGGCACTTTTTTTCAAAATATTTTCAAGACTTTTCCTTTGAAGCAGTATGCATTTGAAAAATGTTATGTAAGCATCTAGCACATTTTTGTTGCTTCCGTAAAGTATTTCAGTATTTTGAAATGGATTTATTTTTGAATGATCGTTTCATAATGGTCTCATTGCAGTCACTTCTGTCAGTGGCCCAACAGATCGGAAATTAAACAGAAAAAAAACTTATCTGTAATATTGTACTGTACTACTTACGCTACCGTGAATAGATCTAGGAATCTATCTGTGTCATATATCGATTTTACTTTAAAATATCGGTCACTGTCCGTGCTATTGTAGACCTAGCTCTTTCAAATTTTTGATGGGAGATAATTTATAAGTACCCCAAGGCCAGGGTATGAAATCGTACGGGAACTCTACAGCTATGCCAATTGTAAGGTTTACATGTGAAGTTAATATATATAGTTTTAGCTTAAATTCAGTTTTTGTCTTTCTGACATGATGTCTCATTGATTCTGTTGAAGAGTGATGCATGTGAACGATTACAATATGAAAATTGGGAATAATGAAGATGTCAATTAACATCTGAATCCCGGAAAGTGTTTTAATAAAGATTAGGATAAACCTAGCAAAGTGTTAGATCCCAGTGTGAATGTGTAAAGTGTAAGGTCCCAGTGTGAATGTGTAAAGTGTAATTGGTACAATTCTTATTATGCCTGAACTTTTAATATATGTACTGTATTTGTTTATCTCAGAAATTTCAGTATTATGTCAACTGCATCCACTTTCAGTTCAACACTTTTGATTCATCAATTTTACACAGCCCTAGACTCAATATTTGTCATTAATTGTCGTCTGTTTTTTAGCATTTTAGAGTTTTGTTTCAATAAGATGTCAATAATCAATGAAATTGATTAATTGAGAGGACATTTTCTTAGTACAGTTAACCAGGCTTTGTAGTGGTTTGTTCAGAACTGTAGTTCTGGTTAAGTAACCATTAATCATGTCCTTTCAGCTACAATGTTATACATTTTTGAAATACTTCTACTGTAGCTAAATGTGGCATTTGTAATAGACATAGCCAAAGTTAATTTTGTGATAGAAGTAGCCAAAGTTAATTTTAGGATCAGTTAGGACAGCTACTGTTTGTAACAGTTACATGATGATGTAATTAATTAAATTTAAATTATGTTATGAAAATGGCATTGCCATTACAGGTATTTTCAAAATAATTAGATTACCATTACATGGCGGTCCAATGTAATTGATTAAATTACACATTACTTTTCAAGTCAAATTGATTTTTGAAATACAAATGTCAAAATAAATTATCATACTGCACAGATTTTAACTTTATGATTCAATCTCTGTATGACCATGGTCGAGATATTATTATTTTGCTAGCTGTCCATCGCTTAATAATTTGACAGTCCTGAACGTCAAAATAAGTAATTACAGTATATTTAATATAGACTCCTATTGGGAAGTTCAAGACTATAAGCTTATACAGAAGTGTATATTTCTTGCACATAATCATAGCAATAATGAAATATTTATTTATTTCCCTTACTCTCTTTCAGCAGGTGGATGTCCCTGAAGAAATGAAATCTGGAATGGTAGAAGGTATCTCTATTGATTCTTCCAACTTGGAATTGGCCATTATGACCAACAATGGATTAGAGGACCTTATGGTGGAGAAAAACGTCCTTCTTTCCAACCTCCAATTAGATGTTGAAGATGATTAATAACTTGAGGAGATGCTAACAACCATGTTGCCTTTTAAGGTCACAGTACTCTCTAAAGGCGGCAATATATTTACCATCGCAAAAGAAGAATCAACAAATCGCAGAAACTAAAATAATGTGGAAAAGATCATTTTATACTGCATTTGTAGTAAATTTGTATACAATCTTCAATTTACTTGAGTAGAAAGATTCACTAGTTATACCAAGTTTTTGTAGAAAGGATCACTGTATACTGAGTTTGTAGTGTACATAGAAAGGTTTACTTTTTTTTTTTTTTTTCTGAGTTTAGTGTATACAATATATATAAAAAAAACTTTTTGTAGAAAAGATCACCGCATACTGAGTTTGTTGTTTACAAATGTGTAGAAAAGATGGCTGTATACCAAGTTTATAGTTTACAATTGTCTAGAAAAATCACTGTATACTGAACATATTACGACTTCTGTTTAAAACCTTCATTTAAACTTAGGCATGTATTTTTTTTATTCATCTTAAAAGTCTACCTACAACAATTTTGTGTATGCAATCTTGTACTAGGATATTGACATGACAAGATTACATTGCTGATCAAAAAATGGAAAGAATACTGTATCTAAAAACTGAATAAAACAAGATATAAGCATTTGTATCATGTTTTTATTATTATTATTTTTCAATGATGCCTGTCCACATGGAATTTGTAAGCACTCTTGTGCATTCTTATACCACCAAAAGGTGGGTAAACTGGAATCAGGTTGTCTATCCGTCCATCCATCTGTTTGTCTGTCTGTAGACACTTGTTGTCTGGACAACTCCAATGAAACTTTACAGTAATATTCGGGACAATGTGTAGATGTGCATGCACCATTTTCCCTCGAAATATTGATTGCCATGGCAACTGGTCAATATAGACAGGTTTTGCATGTTGGTCAACTTCCGAACCTGTGGACCAATTTCAACAAAACTTCGCAGGAATGTCGGGGAACATGTGCACATGCTGCTGTGTTTCAGAAGATGTTTCTGTGCAAAAGGTCACCATGGGGAGATAGCTAAGGCTGTGGGTGTTGGGGGTATTATCATTTGGATTACAGTTTCAGTTATCCCTGGGCAATGTGGAGAGGATATAGTAATGATTTTGAAGATTGAATGTAGAGGTCACAGTACTTGCATAAGTACTATATGATTACCTTGTAAACGCATTGAGACTAAAACAGTTAGTATACCTTAATCAAATTTGGAGCATGTATCCCTTATGAGAATTTGGTTTCTTAAGAAATTCAGGGTCAGATGTCTGAGATCAAGGTCACAGTCAAAAAACAGATAGTTGCATGGGTGTGTTTTCCTTTGCATTACCCTCATCCTTCTTTCAAATTTCACAACCTATAAGATATTCACATCTTGCAAATTTCAAGGTTAAGGTCACTGTTAGGATGTTAAAAAATGATAATACAAGAGGAATAAAATATCTTGCGACAAGTTTTAGAGAACAAAGAATATATAAACATGTCAACAGAATTGTAGAACCAGCAAAACAAGTGTAAAATTGAAACAAAGACAATATCTACTTGAAGATTCCCTGAAAAAGTACAAGGAGAATAAGACCAGGTGTTCCAGAAGAATAGGCATCTTCTATTTTAAGTTATGGTGACAAATCATGTTTGTTTTAGAAAATTGGCACTCTTATGCAGTCATTTACAAACAATCTGGAAAATGAAGCTGCCCAATATTTGTATGTAGCATGTTATTTGCATGATGGTCTAACTAATGGTCTTAAACCAATAAGATACGCAGTCTTTAAAGTGATAATATGGTGTCCAAGATCAACATTCCCTACAATGTATCCAAAGAAATGGACAACTTCCCTATCATCTTGGAGCCTACTTGGGACATGTATTACATAAGTAATACTACTATGCTTGTTATTTCTGATATCTGCTGGTCATTTTTTATGGGCTGCAATGATGTACTGCTTTCATATAGTTTTTTTCAGTATATAGCAAGCTAATAACAAAGAATTTATTGTTTTAATGGTCTTAGCATACCAGTACTTTCAGTACTTTGATTGTAGTTTTAGATAGAACCCCAAACTTGGTATATCATTAAATTTATCTATGTGAAGATTATAATAATAATTTTCAGGGTTTTACATATGATGTTAATACATGAATGTATAATATGGTAAACCAGGAAAACATGATTAGTGTGCTTATTTTGTTCTAATTAATTCAATAAATTATTTAATTCACATAGTTCTTTGCTGTACATGTATTTTAATAGTAAATATGTATTGTACTTCATGTTTCGTGGAACAGGAAGGACTTAAAAGATTACATATCATTACAGAGGGTGTTTGTTTGCAGAAATACCACACTTACAAAATTCGCCCATCTTTGACTTGTGAAATATTGATGGTTTATATACATGTTCTGTTCTTCAAGTTCTGTTACGCAATAAAATATTTTCTATTTATAGGTGACAGGTCAGGATGTTGGAGTGAAGGGGCTATTAAAGACAACCTTCATACACTTTGTCAAATCACCATCAGTTGTCTTGGTAACATTCCTGATGCACCCAGTTGAGAGGCTTGACCTGGTCAGTGTTTAATTGTGTTTATAAGGTTAATAAATCTCATGCCTATGATCATTGTTTTTAATGTTCTTAGCTTATTTGTCTTAGTATGGTATTTATTCTTCAATAAATCCAGAGGACATATATGTTCAATTTTAAGCATATCATATTGTTTGATTAAGTGTATAGTTACCAATATAGGTATAATTACCTACTCAGTAGTTTAAGTACTCTGACAGTTGTAGTGATAGGGTTTTTTTGTCTAAAAAATTGTTGAAAGCTTACACACTTATAGTGTGATCTTTAAAGAAAAAACTGTCACTTTGTATTTTCTCTTTGAAATGATCTGTTTTAGCTTTGTGTACATGTTGTCCCCAGCAGTTATCCAGTTCTGGTTCATTTTGATGATCCTTATATAACGTACCTAATTAATTAAGGGACAGAGAATATGTATTAGGATTAACTTCTGTAGTCGGCTGTAGGACAGCTGTTCGATGTTGTATCACTCATTATGGCTAATTGACAAACTGTTTTGATTGCAATTCAACTGACATCTTATGACGTTACATTTTTCAATCAACTGCAGTACAACAGGAGGCGGGGTGGGGAAGAAGTGACAGAATAGGGAAGAAGATCAAGGCAGGCTTGGGGAAGAGAATGCAGGGTGGGGAAGAGGAGACAGGGTGAGGAAGAGGAGGCAGGGTGGGGAAAAGGAGGCAGGGTGAGGAAGAGGAGGCAGGGTTGGGAAGAGAAGGGAAGATGAGGCAGGGTGGGGAAGAGAAGGGAAGAGGAGGCAGGGTGGGAAGAGGAGGCAGGGTGAGAAGAGGAAGCAGGGTGGGGGAAGAGGAGGCAGGGTGGATAAGAGAATGCAAGGTGGGGAAGAGGAGGCAGGGTGGGGAAGAGAATGCAGGGTGGGGAAGAGGAAGCAAGGTTGGGAAGAGGAGGCAGCATGTGGAAGAGGAGGCAGCGTGGGGAAGAGAAGGTAAGAGGAGGCAGGGTGGGGAAGAGGAGGCAGCATGGGGAAGAGAAAGCAGGGGGTTGGGAAGAGGAGGGGTGAATGGGGAAGAGTGGGTTGGATGGGGAAGAGGAGGGGATGGGGGTTGGTTTTTTCTTTTTTATGTATCATCTTTATGTATTGTATTTGATTCTGACAACTGTTAACCAGTTCACTTGTTAGCTCACCTTATCTGAAGGACCAGTGGACCATTTTTTGACATTTAGCTGGTATGTTCCTAGGACGATGTCCAACAAAGTTTGCCAAAACAAAATGACCTTGACCTGTATTCAAGGTCACAGGGGTCAGATATGTTAAATCATTTAAATGGCTTCTCGTGAACTGGCAAGCATGATATTCAACTGGTATGTTCCTATGATGAAACCTGACAAAGTGTGTGAAAAGAAATGTCCAAGATGCATGTTTATTGTCACAGGTGTCAGATTAGTTAAAACTTTGACACAACTTATTCTGAACAACCACAAGACACAGAAGCATGGTGATAGATTCCTAAGATGAAGCCCACCAATATTTAAGAAAAGAAATGACCTGACCCTTATTCAAGGTCACAAAAGTCAAATTTGTTAAAACAAATGACTTCTTCTACCCATTCGATGCAGAAGCATGGAAGTTGGCTGATAGGTTTGTAGGATGATTTGTGTACAGAAAATAACCTTGACTCTTGTTCAAGGTCACAGGGGTCAAATTTGTTAAACTATTAAAACAACTTATTCTGACAAACCAAAAGGCATAGAAGCATGTTGTTTGGGTGATAGGTTTCTAGATTGAAGTGCGACAAAGTTTGCGAAAAGAAATGACCTTGACCCATATTGAAGGTCACAATGATCAGATTTGTTTAAACTTGTGAAAGATTTCTTTCGGTGAACCAAAAGTCTTGAGAAGCATGGAAGTGGGTGGAAAGTGTTCCTGTCAAATCCCAACAAATTTTGAGAAAAAAAGAGAGATGACATTTACTTAAAATCCAGGTCATAACTGTCACTGGGTAGAGTGGAGTATTAGAAGCTCTTTGTTGTTGAAATTGATTGGATGTGCCCACTTTAAATGCCAATGGTGTACATGTCAATGTATTTGTGATATGAACACCAATTCTATTTTTGATAAACTTTGAATACCACTTTCTGGACCATCTTCCTTACCGACTCTGCAGGGAATCCTCTGGCACCAACTTCTACTGGGATCAGCCAGGTGCTCCATCCCTCCTGTGTGCACTACTCTACAAGTTCTTCACATTTTGCAGCTTTTCATTTGTTTGCCCCATCGCACCCTTCCTCCCATGGAACCGTCAGCTCCATCAGGATGATCTTCTGACGCTGTTGTGACCACATCACAATATCTGGTTTCAATATGATGTGCACAACATCTGGAAAGACAAGTTTTTGTTAAGGTCTGTGCTCATTTCCTAGGAAGGTGCAAGGCTGATTAAGTTTTTATGACTTGAGTGATAGTTGGGTGTCCCTTCTCCCCAGCTCTCACAAACTGTGTGGGTTTATGGTGTCACTGACCTTCCACCCACCCAAGGGTTCTCCAGAAAGTCAGATAAGGTGGCCAGAACCTGGTTGTGACACCGTCTGTATCTTGGAGGGCTGAATAATATGTGTGCTAGCTCTGCCATCTCACAGGGTACAAGCTGGAGCTACCAAGAGCCCCAATTTTTTTGAGATGGCACCGACCCGAATATGAAGGTAATCCCAACTGATTCCAACTTCCACTGGCAGTCCATCTGATCTTGTGCTCAGAAACTTTCATCGACTCCATGATCCCTACTCTCTTAGCTCAACTGCTTTGCTCTTGTGCTGCTATGCCTCCTCTGATTTCAAACACTACAATTCCGTTCTTATTTCCTTTTTGCACCACAGCTGAAAATGATTAACTCCCAGTCTTGGTCTACCAACACCAGCCGACCATTTCCAGTTTGTCCTTGTGACCACCACAGCTGACTGTAACACCAGCTGACCATTCCAGCCTGTCCTTGTGACCACCATAGCTGACTGTAACACCAGTTGACCATTCCCAACCTGTCCTTGTGACCACCACAGCTGACTCTAACACCAGCTGACCATTTCAGCCTGTCCTTGTGACCGCCATAGCTGACTGTAACACCAGTTGACCATTCCCAGCCTGTCCTTGTGACCACCACAGCTGACTGTAACACCAGTTGACCATTTCCAGCCTGTCCTTGTGATCACCATAGCTGACTGTAACACCAGCTGACCATTCCCAGCCTGTCCTTGTGACCACCACAGCTGACTGTAACACCAGTTGACCATATCCAGCCTGCCATTGTGACCAGCACAGCCGACTGTAACACCAGCTGACCATTTCCAGCCTGCCATTGTGACCAGCACAGCTGACTGTAACACCAGCTGACCATTTCCAACCTATCATTGTGACCAGCACTAGCCCGCACATGCTCAAGTATCAGTCTATTGCAGGTAGCCATCTGTCTGCCCAACGTCTCAGATCTTTCCATTTCCATCCTGACTTTCCTGGAAGTCACTGGTTACCCAGGTGTACAATATGCACTTAACGCTTTCTCTGGCTGCTATTGGTAAACACTATCACTTGGCTGGTAAGACATTGGTGACATGGTGCTCTATAGACTACTGTTGACAGTGTCTTCATGTGGATTCCTACCATTATTAGCTGTTTATTCAACAATGCCAAATAGTTGGCCACTCAGCAGTGGTGATCAATCACTGTCCAGTCAGCAGTGGTAATCAAACACTGACCAGTCGGCAGTGGTGATCAATCACTGGCCAGTCACCAGTGGTGATTAATCACTGGCCAGTCAGCAGTGGTGATCAATTACTGTCCAGTCACCGTGGTGATCAGTCACTGGCCAGTCACCCTGGTGATCAGTCACTGTCCAGTCAGCAGTGGTGATCAATCACTGGCCAGTCAGCAGTGGTGATCAGTCACTGGCCAGTCAGCAGTGGTGATCAATCACTGTCCAGTCAGCAGTGGTGATCAATCACTGTCCAGTCAGCAGTGGTGATCAATCACTGGCCAGTCACCGTGGTGATCAGTCACTGGCCAGTCACCGTGGTGATCAGTCACTGGCCAGTCACCCTGGTGATCAGTCACTGGCCAGTCAGCAGTGGTGATCAGTCACTGGCCAGTCAGCAGTGGTGATCAATCACTGGCCAGTCACCGTGGTGATCAATTACTGTCCAGTAACTGTGGTGATCAGTCACTGGCCAGTCAGCAGTGGTGATCAATCACAGGCCAGTCACCGTGGTGATCAATCACAGGCCAGTCAGCAGTGGTAGTCAGCAGTGGTGATCAATCACTGTCCAGTCAGCAGTGGTGATCAATCACAGGCCAGTCAGCAGTGGTGATCAATCACTGTCCAGTCACCGTGGTGATCAATCACTGGCCAGTCAGCAGTGGTGATCAATTACTGGCCAGTCAGCAGTGGTGATCAATTACTGGCCAGTCAGCAGTGGTGATCAATTACTGGCCAGTCAGCAGTGGTGATCAATTACTGGCCAGTCAGCAGTGGTGATCAATCACTGGCCAGTCACCGTGGTGATCAATCACTAACCAGTCAGCAGTGGTGATCAATTACTGGCCAGTCAGCAGTGGTGATCAATTACTGGCCAGTCAGCAGTGGTGATCAATTACTGGCCAGTCAGCAGTGGTGATCAATCACTGGCCAGTCAGCAGTGGTGATCAATCACTGGCCAGTCAGCAGTGGTGATCAATCACTAACCAGTCAGCAGTGGTGATCAATCACTGGCCAGTCAGCAGTGGTGATCAATCACTGGCCAGTCAGCAGTGGTGATCAATTACTGGCCAGTCAGCAGTGGTGATCAATCACTGGCCAGTCAGCAGTGGTGATCAATTACTGGCCAGTCAGCAGTGGTGATCAATTACTGGCCAGTCAGCAGTGGTGATCAATTACTGGCCAGTCAGCAGTGGTGATCAATTACTGGCCAGTCAGCAGTGGTGATCAATTACTGGCCAGTCAGCAGTGGTGATCAATCACTGGCCAGTCAGCAGTGGTGATGAATCACTAACCAGTCACCAGTGGTGATGAATCACTAACCAGTCAGCAGTGGTGATGAAACACTGGCCAGTCAGCAGTGGTGATCAATTACTGTCCAGTCACCGTGGTGATCAGTCACTGGCCAGTCACCCTGGTGATCAATCACTGGCCAGTCTCCACATAACTTCTCAGTATATAAGCCTATTCCTTTAATTTTTTCCCATAATAATAAGTACAAACAGGTTAACATTTTAACAGCTGTGGAAGTTATAACCAAATATTTGGAACTTTGAGGATGCTTGTTTCCAAAGATATACTTATCTTGACTTTTAACCAAAATCTGAATTCCATCTTTCCTCACAAACTGTAGATAAACAACTAGGTGATATTTGTTTTAGTTATCTTTTCTGCTGTGTATTTCAGTGTGCTCAGGAGGCTGTCTGGTTGAGTGAAGAACAAATAGAAGATAAGCTGAAATCTTCAGAACTGTTAGGAACAGAGCTAGTCAATTTTATACAGCAAATACAGAATGGTATCTATGATAAAGATTTTCAAGTAGGATTATAATAAGTGGGCTACCCCAAACTATTACTGTAATTTCTGGAGATGTCATGTTAACAACACGTGTTTATGAAATGCTATGCACCCAGTTGCAACAGAATCTGAAGTGGGACATTAAAAGTGTACTGTGTAATGTATGTGTTAATTACATACACACTTATGTCTTCACTGTGGTAATGATATTTTTTACTTTCAAATGACAGTCACATGGTCAAAAATTAGGTACCAATGGAAAGGTCTTGTCACAAGAAAAATATATGTCAATTATGAAAGTCCAGATCATTCGATCCCAGGACATAAAAATAAAGTTTTATTGGCGATGTGTACCAGAGGTTATACCCTCACAGACTGACAATTGTATTATGATTGTTCATTATCAGTGTATTCCTATATATCTATTGTAGGGCCAGCTTTGATAAACACCCTTAACGAAACTAATGTGGAATATGTTGACACAGAATCTGTCACTGATCTGTCACAACTATCAGCACAGGAGGCCCTTATCAAATCAGCCAAGTTTGGCAAGAAAGGTAATGTACAGTGTATGTTAATTATATTTTCATCTCTAATGTATTATGTCACTCTGATAGAATATGATTGACTTCCTACCAAATGTCAAGTGATCATATCTGTCACTCTGATAGAATACGTTTGACTTCCTACCAAATGCCGAGTGATCATATCTGTCACTCTGATAGAAAACGTTTGACTTCCTACCAAATGCCGAGTGATCATATGTGTCATTCTGATAGAATACCTTTGACTTCCTACCAGATGTCGAGTGATCATATGTGTCACTCTGATAGAATATGTTTGACTTCCTACCAAATGTTGAGTGATATGTGTCACTCTGAAAGAATACGTTTGACTTCCTACCAAATGACGAGTGATCATATATGTCACTCTGATAGAATACGTTTGACTTCCTACCAAATGACGAGTGATCATATATATCACTCTGATATAGTGCTGTTGACTTCCTATAAACCTTTGAAAGGAGAATTTTTTGAGCTTAGTTGTTAGAGTGTTAATCAAAGTCTTGGGTTGAATCTGTAACTTAGACATAAAATATCTGTAGATAAACTCTTCCACACTTCCTGTAATAATCAGGATTACAACATGGCAAAGGATAGGCTGATTTTCCTCTTCTCTTTCTCTTTAATCTGAAATCATATATCGGTAATTATTTACACAGAACAAGACCTGTTTTTCCAAGAGTTCATGAGCTGGTGTCTACCCAGTCAGACGATGAACTTTGAAGTGTTTCGGGCTTTCATCACACACAAGGGAGCAAGGGCTGACCTAGTCGAGGATTTCTTCAGGTATATATGACATGGGCTTTGTAAATCTTGGTAAATTCAAGTGCTCGAAAAGAATGCCATGTTCTCAAAGGGAGTATAGTGTTAACAGCATCAAAATTACCAGACATACTTAGAAGCATTATCCTGTCAAAATTCATGTAATTACAATATTGATATCTTTTAAACAAAGTGCAAGGATGTATTGTTTTTGCTCCACTTAAAAAAATCATCACCTGTGAAATTAATTTGCATTGGTTGTTGTGTTATAATTTTATTTTCCTATTTGATATTTTCTCTAGTGACACAGCTATCACAGACATCTCTTATGGCTTTACCAGTGAAGTTGGAAAAATCTGTCAGTTACAATATGTGTTGTTTTTGATGAGATCATGATTAAGATGTAGGGATCGTCACATTTCATATGTTTACATTACTGCTTACAGGGCATTTGACACACACAAACGAAGGATACTTAACTTTAAAGAAGTATTACTCGGTCTGGCTGCAATGGAACCAAGCACACAGCACGGTGGAATGCCAGCTGAGATGAGATGCAGATACATTTTCCGGTTTTATGATAAAAATATGGATAGTTTCTTACAATTTTCAGAATTCAGGTAACTAGAGAATTCTGAATAGAATGTCATGCTAGTTTAGGGAATCCCATGTCAGTCTCTACAGTATCCCATGTCAATCTCTACAGTACCCCATGTCAGTCTCTACAGTAATCCATGTCAGTCTCTACTGTACCCTATGTCAGCCTCTACCGTACCCAATGTCAGTACCCCATATCAGTCTCTACAGTATCCCATGTCAGTACCCCATGTCAGTCTCTACAGTACCCAATGTCAGTCTTTAGAGTACCCCATGTAAGTACCCCATATCAGTCTTTACAATACCCCATGTCAGTCTCTACAGTATCCCATGACAGTACCCCATGTCAGTCTCTACAGTACCCCATGTCAGCCTCTACAGTACCCCATGTAAGTACCCCATATCAGTCTCTACAGTATCCCATATCAGTCTCTACAGTATCCCATGTCAGTCCCTACTGTGCCCTATGTCAGCCTCTACAGTACCCTATGTCAGCCTCTACAGTACCCCATGTCAGTCTCTACAGTACCCCATGTCAGTCTCTACAGTACCCCATGTCAGTCTCTACAGTACCCATGTACTACCCCCATGTCAGCCTCTACAGTACCCATGTCAGCCTCTACAGTACCCTATGTCAGCCTCTACAGTACCCCATGTCAGTCTCTACAGTACCCCATACCCTCTACAGTATATCAGTCTCTACAGTACCCCATGTCAGTCTCTACCTATGTCAGTATATACATTACCCCATATCAGCCTGTACAGTACCCCATATCAGTCTCTACAGTACCCCATGTCAGTCTCTCTACAGTACCCCCATATCAGTCTCTACAGTACCCCATGTCTCTAGTACCCCATGTCAGTCTCTACAGTACCCCATGTCAGTCTCTACAGTACCCCATGTCAGTCTCTACAGTAGCCCAAGTCTCTACAGTACCCCATGTCAGTCTCTACAGTACCCCATATCAGCCTCTACAGTACCCCATATCAGTCTCTACAGTACCCTATGTCAGTCTCTACAGTACCCCATGTCGGTCTCTACAATACCCCATATCAGCCTCTACAGTACCCCATATCAGTCTCTACAGTACCCCATATCAGTCTCTACAGTACCCCATGTCAGTCTCTACAGTAACCCATGACAGTACCCCATGTCAGTCTCTACAGTACCCCATGTCAGCCTCTACAGTACCCCATGTCAGTCTCTACAGTACCCCATGTCAGTCTCTACAGTACCCCATGTCAGCCTCTACAGTACCCCATGTCAGTCAGTCCTACAGTATATGTCAGTCTCTACCCCTATGTACAGTACCCATATGTCAGTACCTCTACAGTACCCATATCAATCTCTACAGTACCCCATATCAGCCTCTACAGTACCCCATATCAGTCTCTACAGTACCCCATGTCAGTCTCTACAGTCAGCCTCTACAGTACCCCATGTCAGTCTCTACAGTACCCCATGTCAGCCTCTACAGTACCCCATGTCAGTCTCTACAGTACCCCATGTCAGTCTCTACAGTACCCCATGTCAGCCTCTACAGTACCCCATGTCAGCCTCTACAGTACCCAATATCAGTCTTTAGAGTACCCCATGTAAGTACCCCATATCAGTCTTTACAATACCCCATGTCAGTCTCTACAGTATCCCATGACAGTACCCCATGTCAGTCTCTACAGTACCCCATGTCAGCCTCTACAGTACCCCATGTCAGCCTCTACAGTACCCCATGTCAGTCTCTACAGTATCCCATGTCAGTCTCTACAGTACCCCATGTCAGTCTCTACAGTACCCCATGTCAGCCTCTACAGTACCCTACAGTACCCCATGTCAGCCTCTACAGTACCCCATGTCAGTCTCTACAGTACCCCATGTCAGCCTCTACAGTACCCCATGTCAGTCTCTACAGTACCCCATGTCAGTCTCTACAGTACCCCATGTCAGTCTCTACAGTACCCCATGTCAGTCTCTACAGTACCCATGTCATACAGTACCCCATCAGTCTCTACAGTACCCTATGTCAGTCTCTACAGTACCCCATGTCAGTCTCTACAGTACCCTATGTCAGTCTCTACAGTACCCCATGTCAGTACCCTATGTCTGTCTCTACAGTACCCCATGTCAGTCTCTACAGTACCCCATATCAGCCTCTGCAGTACCCCATATCAGTCTCTACAGTACCCCATGTCAGTCTCTACAGTATCCCATTTCAGTACCCCATGTCAGTCTCTACAGTACCTCATGTCAGTCTCTACAGTATCCCATGTCAGTACCCCATGTCAGTCTCTACAGTATCCCATGTCTGCCTCTACAGTACCCAATGTCAGTCTTTAGAGTACCCCATGTAAGTACCCCATATCAGTCTTTACAATACCCCATGTCAGCCTCTACCGTACCCCATATCAGTCTCTACAGTACCCCATGTGAGTACCCTATGTCAGTCTCTACAGTACCCCATGTCAGTACCCTATGTCAGTCTCTACAGTACCCCATGTCGGTCTCTACAATACCCCATATCAGCCTCTACCGTACCCCATATCAGTCTCTACAGTACCCCATATCAGTCTCTACAGTACCCCATGTCAGTCTCTACAGTACCCCATGTCAGTCTCTACAGTACCCCATGTCAACCTCTACAGTACCCCATGTCAGTCTCTACAGTACCCCATGTCAGCCTCTACAGTACCCCATGTCAGCCTCTACAGTTACCCATGTCAGTCTCTACAGTACCCCATGTCCCCATATCAGTCTCTACAGTACCCCATCTCAGCCTCTACAGTACCCCATCTCAGTCTCTACAGTACCCCATGTCAGCCTCTACAGTACCCCATGTCAGTCTCTACAGTACCCCATGTCAGCCTCTACAGTATCCCATGACAGTACCCCATGTCAGTCTCTACAGTACCCCATGTCAGCCTCTACAGTACCCCATGTAAGTACCCCATATCAGTCTCTACAGTATCCCATGTCAGTCCCTACTGTGCCCTATGTCAGCCTCTACAGTACCCTATGTCAGCCTCTACAGTTACCCATGTCAGCCTCTACAGTACCCCATGTCAGCCTCTACAGTTACCCATGTCAGTCTCTACAGTACCCCATATCAGCCTCTACAGTACCCCATATCAGTCTCTACAGTACCCCATGTCAGCCTCTACAGTACCCTATGTCAGTCTCTACTGTACCCTATGTCAGTCTCTACAGTACCCCATGTCAGTACCCTATGTCAGTCTCTACAGTACCCCATGTCAGTCTCTACAATACCCCATATCAGCCTCTACCGTACCCCATATCAGTCTCTACAGTACCCCATATCAGTCTCTACAGTACCCTATGTCAGTCTCTACAGTACCCTATGCCAGTACCCCATATAAGTCTCTACAGTACCCTATATCAGTCTCTACAGTACCCCATGTCAACCTCTACAGTACCATATGTCATTCTCTACTGTACCCCACATCAGTCTCTACAGTACCCCATGTCAGTCTCTACAGTACCCTATTCTAGCACCCCATATCAGCCTCTACAGTACCCCATATCAGCCTCTACAGTACCCCATATCAATCTCTACAGTACCCCATATCAGTCTCTACAGTACCCCATGTCAGTCTCTACAATACCCTATGTCAGTCTCTACAGTACCCTATGCCAGTACCCCATATCAGCCTCTACAGTACCCCATATCAGTCTCTACAGTACCCCATATCAGTCTCTACAGTACCCCATGTCAGTCTCTACAGTACCCCATGTCAGTCTCTACAGTATCCATATCAGTCTCTACAGTATCCCATGTCAGTTTCTACAGTACCCCATGACAGTACCCTATGTCAGCCTCTACAGTAACCTATGTAAGTCTCTACAGTACCCTATGCCAGTACCCCATATCAGCCTCTACAGTACCCCATATCAGCCTCTACAGTTACCCATGTCAGCCTCTACAGTACCCCATGTCAGCCTCTACAGTTACCCATGTCAGTCTCTACAGTACCCCATGTCAGTCTCTACAGTACCCCATGTCAGCCTCTACAGTACCCCATGTCAGCCTCTACAGTACCCCATATCAGTCTCTACAGTACCCCATGTCAGCCTCTACAGTTACCCATGTCAGTCTCTACAGTACCCCATGTCAGCCTCTACAGTACCCCATATCAGTCTCTACAGTACCCCATGTCAGCCTCTACAGTACCCTATGTCAGTCTCTACTGTACCCTATGTCAGTCTCTACTGTACCCTATGTCAGTCTCTACAGTACCCCATGTCAGTACCCTATGTCAGTCTCTACAGTACCCCATGTCAGCCTCTACAGTACCCTATGTCAGTCTCTACAGTACCCCATGTCAGCCTCTACAGTACCCCATGCATCTCTGATAATATTCAAAGAAAGGAAAGAAAAAATAATTATAATTTGTCCGATTATCATTTCATTTCAGTTGGTATTTTTAAAATTCATTTGATGTGCTTGTTCTTAAAATTTAATCTAGTTATCTGTGAAATTTGTTAAGTCTGGTTATCTGTAAAATTTGTTTAATCTGGTTATCTGTAAAATTAGTTAAGTCTGGTTATCTGTAAAATTAGTTAAGTCTGGTTATCTGTAAAATTAGTTAAGTCTGGTTATCTGTAAAATTAGTTAAGTCTGGTTATCTGTAAAATTTGTTTAATCTGGTTATCTGTAAAATGTTTTTAATCTTGTTGTCCTTAAAATTTTTTCCCATCATGTTATTCTTGCTTTATGTTTTCCATATACTGGTAGAGTCTCTAATCTCAGGAATGTTAAAAATGATGACATTATCAAACTCAAGGTGTGTATTATGTTCCACTACAGGGAAATGGTGCGCGACATCCGTCAAATCAAAGGTCTGTCCACAGACGATGAAGCTGTCTCTGAAGACGCTATGAAAAGTGCCAAGTAGGCATATTCTTAAGAACATGGTCTGAACAGAGTTTCCAGCAATAAAAAGGATACATTAAATTTTATACCAGCTATTGTACCTTATCAACATTAATGTAAAAAATTTTGTTCAATCATATTTCCGAAAATTGTATCTATCAGAAATTTCTTTATCACATGAAAGATATTTACATCTATATCACTTTTTCCTTTTTGATCAATAAAATGAATTTTTCTACTTATAAAACATTGATGACAAATCTCCCAGATTTTAGGATTTTTTTTACACATTTTACAGAAAACAATATTAGTGTATTATAAAATTGATTTCTACAGATTAAGATTGAAAATAATCTCAAAATAATCTATTTATTTTTACCTATGATTTATTACTTTTGATTCTGGTTTTCAGATGCTTTGGAACAGAAACCAAAAACAAATTGCCGATAGGCGAGTTTCTAACAGCTGTGGGCCAGCTTAAATTCCGAGGAACCTCTGTACTGTTTCGTCTCTCCCATTCCAGCCTGACTTCCTTAAAGAAGTATGTCACATTTATTTCATATCATATGATATTAAACATACATAGATTGAGAATAAAATATTTTGAGAAATATAAAGTTGATGTTGAAAATCAAAATGTTGCCATTGTCGCTGTAGTTTACTTTAAAGGTAATCAAAGAATTACATTTTGAAATTAAGTTTGTTGAAACCACTCAACATAGATCAATAAAAACTAGGTGTCAAATGCAAGACATATAAAGTAACACCTGACAATTTTTCAATCCTCCGGGACACTCCAGGGGTCATGGTTACTTTTACTCTGCACACTTCATGTCATGGCACAAGAGATGTTAATTGACTGGTTCCAGGAGAAAAAAATTTTACAATCAAGGGCTGATATGCTTCTTTTAAAGATTACAATGGATATACAGCAAAACAACATCAAAACCATTACAATATACTGTGACCTCGAGATTCATTTGATGTACAGCAAAGGATCAAACTAGTCTTGTCTACAAGGTGTCGCACATGGAAACTTCAGTTTTGCCATGACATGTTTCAGGGGTGCAGAGAGCAAAAGTGATTGTAATCCCTGGAGTACCGTGGAGGGTTCTTTATTAGATGCATTTCCTGGGCAAGGGGAAATAACTCCAATGTCAGAAAATAACTCTTTTTCTTTTTTTTTTCTTCTCTGAACCTTTAGTCTAATACTGCAGTTTGAAGAGCTGCTCAGAATGAGGATTTTTTTGGTTGTAGTTAATACTTTGCAGTGTTACCCTTCATTTTAGCTTAAACAATAGCCTGACTACTTCTGAATCAGGACAGAATTATTTCAGCTGTCAGATCAGAATTTTTTTTGTGCTTTGTTTAAGTACATTGTAATACATGTAATATGGATAATTTTAGGTATTGTCACATGGTCTTGATGTTTCAGAAATAAAAGTTTCCATGTAATAACAATCAGTTCCTTTCATTTTACAAAGTTAAACTAAAAACCCCAAAATCCACATACAATTTTTTTAAACAAATTTAAATCTTAAAAGTAATTATGTCCCCCAAACGAAGTGTTTGCTCCGTTTCTTCTTCTTCTTATTATTATTTATATTATTCTTATTTCTTCCACTTTCTTCCGCCGGCGAGATTTCTGACGCGTTTCTCAAAAACTTTTGCATGGAATTTAACAAAACTGTACACACATATTCATACATGCGAAGCGGAGTGCAGGCCACTTGAATTTTGCCAATTGGTCATTTGAGCGGTCAGCTGTGGTAAAAATTTGGCCAAATTTTAGACATTGTCTGATTTTTGTGAAAATTGGTATATATGTATTAGGTGGCACTAGGAGCAAAATGGCGTAGTCCATTTTTCATTCGGCCATCGATCGGTCATCTGAGGGGTCAGCTGTGATCAAAATTTAGCCAAATTTTAGATATTGTCCGATTTTCGTGAAAATTGGTATATATGTATTAGGTGGCACTATAGGAGCAAAATGTCGTAGTCCATTTTTCATTCGGCCATCGATCGGTCATCTGAGGGGTCAGCTGTGATCAAAATTTGGCCAAATTTTAGATATTGTCCGATTTTCGTGAAAATTGGTATATATGTATTAGGTGGCACTAGGAGCAAAATGGCGTAGTCCATTTTTCATTCGGCCATCGATCGGTCATCTGAGGGGTCAGCTGTGATCAAAATTTGGCCAAATTTTAGATATTGTCCGATTTTCGTGAAAATTGGTATATATGTATTAGGTGGCACTATAGGAGCAAAATGTCGTAGTCCCTGTTTAGCATGACTGCAGGTCTGGTTATTGTGATCATTTACTGCTGAAGGGGTCGTTTGGGGGACATTTGTAATGGTCCCCATTGCAATTAGTACTTGTTTTGAACTGATTTTTATCAAAATTGTTTAAAACATTTTGGTCTTTTTGTTGTCAAAGAGAACACTGTATTGACTTATCTGTCCTTACCTTACTGTTGTATTACTACAGTTCCTCAGATGGAGCCACAAGTGTGTCATCTCCTGGAAAAGAAGATGAAACGGAACCACCTTCCAAGAGGTATCGCCCCAAATTGATGGACGCAATGAAGGTCTCGCCTCCACGCAAACTCAATATGACAGGTAGAATGGACATTTTGCATACACAACTATATGTTCTGTTCAAACTTAAATATGAATTATACTTGCTGGCGGTTCTTGTTTTCACTACCCTGCTTCTCACTTTGAGTACCCCTATTGCCATATTAGATCATATTGATGAAGCACAATGCCTACTTTTCTAGAAACACCTGGACAAGCACTGGTGATCGTAACCCTGGATTTACAGAGAGTGAAAGTGATCGTAACCCTGGAGTATTGAGTATACAGAGAGTGAAAGTGATCATAACCCTGGAGTATTGAGTATACAGAAAGTGATCATAACCCTGGTGTATTGAGTATACAGAGAGTGAAAGTGATCATAACCCTGGAGTATTGAGTTTACAGAGAGTGAAAGTGATCATAACCCTGGAGTATTGAGTATACAGAGAGTGAAAGTGATCATAACCCTGGAGTATTGAGTATACAGAGAGTGAAAGAGATCATAACCCTGGAGTATTGAGTATACAAAATGAAAGTGATCATAACCCTGGAGTTATGAAGATGCTCTCAGAGCATCATCTCCACTGATAATAGACCATATTGACAGAATAGTAAATTGATAAATTTACTTTGCTCTTACAGGGTGAAATTTTCAGAAAAAGAAAGTACATGTTATTACAATATGATTAATGACATCATCAAGTCTTGTGACTTATCATAACACACAGTAAAATCTCCAATCAAAACAAGGAGCAAATCTGAATGTTTATTGGGTTTTTTTTGTGCAGATCCTGATGCTGACGTGTTCAAATTGCCAGAAGGTCGACCGGTAATGTCAGGTAAACATCATGGCCCTCAACCGAAATACGAGTTAGCCACACACACAGTGAAAGTGAGGCGAACTGGCTTCCTGTCGGACGTTATCAAACTTTGGGACCTTCAAGGTGAGATACCAACCATTACGTATGTGAATTAAACCACCAATATCTAGTAAGAAAATCAACAGTTTTAATTATGCTTCCAGAATGCAGAGAATATAGTCACCGGTTTGTATGTCTGTCTTATTATTTTGTCTGTTTGTCTGTAAATTTAAGATACAGCGTACAGGAATACTGAACGTTTATTCATTCTAAGATAATGAAGCCTTTGCTAGCTGTAATTTATTTGTCCTTAATTGTCTGAATTCATAATTCCAAAATTCAAACAGAAAGAGCAACTTAAAATGCTCAATTTGTCAAAAGTAAGACATAGTGTATAAAATCAAAATGCACCTTTTTTGAAGCTTGAAGATTTGATTGTCTGCAATCTTCCAATAGAAATTCCAAAATGTTGTCAATATTGTAGAAAGCAAGGAGATTATTATACGTTTAATTCAAAGTAAAGAACAGTTTTATTTGTTGATATAATTAGTGTAGACTGATGCATTGATTAATTGTTAAAACCAGGTACAACTGCTGTGGCTGAAAGTGCTGTAAGTCATTTAGAGGGAGACATATCCCGCTTCCAACGAATGTCCTCTATAGATTCATTCAACCAGGTAACTATGTTACATCTCAGATATTTTGTCACTGGTGATTTTTGCATGGTTGATAACAAGTTCATTGCCTTCATGTTTAAATCAAGTTAAATTCCACCTGTGACATCTCGATTTGTTTTTACATTGCATATATATATATATATATATATACGAAGTGTATCACCTTATGAACAATGACGGTTGGTTTTTGCTGAAATATGCACATAAAGATGTTAATCAATAATTATAAAAAGGAAATCCTTATCTGTTGATCAACAGTCTGGATAGGTCAATTTTGGTGTCATATACATGTATGATAATGCATGAACAAAAAACCTGTAAAAATGTCAATTATTTTGGTAGTTCTGACTTAGAGCTATTAAATAACATTTGCCACACCCATACCATAATATTTTACTGACTGTGTCACTACAGTCACAGCTGATTCTGCTTTCCATCATGTGTTCATATTAACAAAATGATTGCCTTGTTTCCAAAAAAAGGTGGGGGGGGGGGGGGGGGGCTCCCAAACTAAGGAAGTGGTCAAGCTGGACATTGGAAATTGACTGTGAATATTGGGATAGCATAGAAATGTAACTGGAAGTATAAAAAATTATAGCAATTTTTGTTTACTGCTCTATCTCTTTAACCTGTAACAATTAGAAAATAAGAGCTGTCAGTTGATGGATTCAAGAATTAATGTGTTGAACAGTATAGAGAGCAAAACAACTGATGACTATACAAATTTTTGTCAGGCAAAGTTAAGAAAATTTAATATATACTTTTCAACATTTTTATTCATGAACAGTGAGGAAGAATTTAAGTTATGGGCAAAATGTTGTTATGCTGTAATCCCTTTTATGTAATCACCAGAGGGTGAAATTAACAGGAGATATATTCGTGTATAATTATACAGGCAAAAATAACTGGGGCAAAAAAGAACACAGCAGGCCCAGGAAACTCATTCCATGTAAAAGGTAGAGTACCTGGTTACTCCTTTAAACCTTATCCATGTTAGAGTACCTGGTTACTCCTCCATCCACATCCTCCTGGTTAACCATCCACATCCATGTTAGAGTACCTGGTTAATCATCCAACCTCATCCATGTTAGAGTACCTGGTTACTCCTACATCCAGATCCATGCTAGAGTACCTGGTTACTCCTCCAACCTCATCCATGTTAGAGTACCTGGTTACTCCTCCATCCATATCCATAGTAGAGTACCTGGTTACTCCTCCATCAAGATACATGTTAGAGTACCTGTTTACTCCTCCGTCCAGATCCATGGTAGAGTACCTGGTTACTCCTCCATCCATATCCATAGTAGAGTACCTGGTTACTCCTCCATCAAGATACATGTTAGAGTACCTGGTTACTCCTCCATCCAGATCCATGGTAGAGTACCTGGTTACTCCTTCATCCAGATCCATTTTAGAAAACCTGGTTACTCCTCCATCCTGATCCATGTTAGAGTACCTGGTTACTCCTCCAACCAGATCCTTGTTAGAGTACCTGCTTACTCCTCCAACCTCATCCATATTAGAGTACCTGGTTACTCCTCTATTCAGATCCATGTTAGAGTACCTGGTTGCTCCTACATCCAGATCCATGTTAAAGTGCCTGGTTACTCCTCCAACCTCATCCATGTTAGAGTACCTGGTTACTCCTCCATCCACATCCATGTTAGAGTACCTGGTTACTCATCCAACCTCATCCATGTTAGAGTACCTGGTTACTTCTACATCCAGATCCATGCTAGAGTACCTGGTTACTCCTCCAACCTCATCCATGTTAGAGTACCTGGTTACTCCTCCATCCAGATCCATGGTAGAGTACCTGGTTACTCCTCCAGCCTCATCCATGTTAGAGTACCTGGTTACTCCTCCATCCAGATCCATGTTAGAGTACCTGTTTACTCCTCCGTCCAGATCCATGGTAGAGTACCTGGTTACTCCTCCAGCCTCATCCATGTTAGAGTATCTGGTTACTCCTCAAGCCTCATCCATGTTAGAGTACCTGGTTACTCCTCCATCCAGATCCAGGTTAGAGTACCTGGTTACTCCTCAAACCTCATCCATGTTAGAGTACCTGCTTACTCCTCCATCCTCATCCATGTTAGAATATCTGGTTACTCCTCCAACCTCATCCATGTTAGAGTACCTAATTACTCCTCCATCCTCATCCATATTTGAGTACCTGGTTACTCCTCCATCCAGATCCATGGTAGAGTACCTGGTTACTCCTCTATTCAGATCCATGTTAGAGAATCTGGATACTCCTCCAACCTCATCCATGTTGGAGTACCTGGTTACTCCTCCAGCCTCATCCATAATTGAGTACCTGGTTACTCCTCCAACCTCATCCATGTTAGAGTACCTGGTTACTCCTCCAGCCTCATCCATGTTAGAGAACCTGGTTACTCCTCCATCCAGATCCATGTTAAAGTGCCTGGTTATGCCTCCAACGACATCCATGTTAGAGTACCTGGTTACTCCTCCAACCAGATCTATGGTAGAGTACCTGGTTACTCCTACATCCAGATCCATGGTAGAGTACCTGGTTACTCCTCCAACCTCATCCATGTTAGAGTATCTGGTTACTCCTCCAACCTCATCCATGTTAGAGTACCTGGTTACTCCTCCAACCTCATCCATGTTAGAGTACCTGGTTACTCTTCCAGCCTCATCCATGTTAGAGTACCTGGTTACTCTTCCATCCTCATCCATGTTAGAGTATCTGGTTACTCCTCCAGCCTCATCCATGTTAGAGTATCTGTTTACTCCTCCAGCCTGATCCATGTTAGAGTACCTTGTTACTCCTCCAGCCTGATCCATGTTAGAATACCTGGTTACCTGGTTACTCCTCCAACCTCATCCATGTTAGAGTACCTGGTTACTCCTCCAGCCTCATCCATGTTAGAGTACCTGGTTACTCCTCCATCCAGATCCATGTTAGAGTACCTGGTTACTCCTCCAACCTCATCCATGTTAGAAAACCTGGTTACTCCTCCATCCAGATCCATGGTAGAGTATCTGGTTACTCCTCCAACCTCATCCATGTTAGAGTACCTGGTTACACCTCCATCCTCATCCATATTTGAGTACCTGGTTACTCCTCCAACCTCATCCATGTTAGAAAACCTGGTTACTCCTCCATCCAGATCCATGTTAAACCTGGTTACTCCTCCATCCACATCCATGTTAGAGTACCTGGTTACTCATCCAACCTCATCCATGTTAGAGTACCTGGTTACTCCTACATCCAGATCCATGCTAGAGTACCTGGTTACTCCTCCAACCTCATCCATGTTAGAGTATCTGGTTACTCCTCCAACCTCATACATGTTAGAGTACCTGATTACTGCTCTATCCGGATCCATGTTAGGTTACCTGGATACTCCTCCAACTACATACATGTTAGAATACCTGGTTACTCCTCCAACCTCATCCATATTTCAGTACCTGCTTACTCCTCCATCCAGATCCATGTTAAAGTACCTGCTTACTCCTCTATTCAGATCCATGTTAGAGTACCTGGATACTCCTCCATCCAGATACATGTAAGAATACCTGGTTACTCCTCCATCCAGATCCATGTTAGAGTACCTGGTTACTCCTCCATCCAGATCCATGTTAGAGTACCTGGTTACTCCTCCATCCAGATCCATGTTAGAGTACCTGGTTACTCCTCCATCCAGATCCATGTTAGAGTACCTGGTTACTCCTCCATCCAGATCCATGTTAGAGTACCTGTTTACTCCTCCGTCCAGATCCATGGTAGAGTACCTGGTTACTCCTCCATCCAGCCATGTTAGAGTACCTGGTTACTCCTCCATCCATATGTTAGAGTACCTGGTTACTCCTCCATCCAGATCTATGTTAGAGTACCTGGTTACTCCTCCATCCAGATCTATGGTAGAGTACCTGGTTACTCCTACATCCAGATCTATGGTAGAGTACCTGGTTACTCCTCCATCCAGATCTATGGTAGAGTACCTGGTTACTCCTCCATCCAGATCCATGTTAGAGTACCTGGTTACTCCTCCATCCAGATCCATGTTAGAGTACCTGGTTACTCCTCCATCCAGATCCATGATAGAGTACATGGTTACTCCTACAGCATCATCCATGTTAGAGTACCTGGTTACTCCTCAATCCAGATCCATGTTAGAGTACCTGGTTACTCCTCTATCCAGATTTATGTTAGAATACCTGGTTACTCTCCATCCAGATCCATGTTAGAGTACCTGGTTACTCCTCCATCCAGATCCATGTTAGAGTACCTGGTTACTCCTCCAAACTCATCCATTTTAGAGTACCTGGTTACTCCTCCTGATTCATCCATGTTAGAGTACCTCGTTACTCCTCCATCCAGATCCATGTTAGAGTACCTGGTTACTCCTCCATCCAGATCCATGTTAGAAAACCTGGTTACTCCTCCATCCAGATCCATGTTAGAGTACCTGGTTACTCCTTCATCCAGATCCATGTTAGAGTACCTGGTTACTCCTCCATCCAGATCCATGTTAGAGTACCTGGTTACTCCTCCATCCAGATCCATGTTAGAGTACCTGGTTACTCCTCCATCCAGATCCATGTTAGAAAACCTGGTTACTCCTCCAGCCTCATCCATGTTAGAGTACCTGGTTTCTCCTCCAACCTCGTCCATGTTAGAGTACATGGTTACTACACCAGCCTGATCCATGTTAGAGTACCTTATTACTCCTCCTGCTTCATCCATGTTAGAGTACCTGGTTACTCTTCCAGCCTCATGCATGTTAGAGTACCTGGTTACTCCTCCATCCTCATCCATGTTAGAGTACCTGGTTACTCCTCCATCCAGATCCAGGTTAGAGTACCTGGTTACTCCTCAAACCTCATCCATGTTAGAGTATCTGGTTTCTCCTCCAAACATATCCATGTTAGAGTACCTGGTTACTCCTCCATCCAGATCCATGTTAGAGTACCTGGTTACTCCTCCATCCAGATCCATGGTAGAGTACCTGGTTACTCCTCCATCCAGATCCATGTTAGAAAACCTGGTTACTCCTCCATCCAGATCCATGTTAGAGTACCTGGTTACTCCTCCATCCAGATCCATGTTAGAGTACCTGGTTACTCCTCCATCCAGATCCATGTTAGAGTACCTGGTTACTCCTCTATCTGGATCCATGTTAGAGTACCTGGTTACTCCTAAAACCTCATCCATGTTAGAGTTTCTGGTTTCTCCTCCAACCATATCCATGTTTTAGTACCTGTTTACTCCTCAATCCAGATCCATGTTAGAGTACCTGGTTACTCCTCCATCCAGATCTATGTTAGAATACCTGGTTACTCTCCATCCAGATCCATGTTAGAGTACCTGGTTACTCCTCCATCCAGATCCATGTTAGAGTACCTGGTTACTCCTCCATCCAGATCCATGTTAGAGTACCTGGTTACTCCTCCATCCAGATCCATGTTAGAGTACCTGGTTACTCCTCCATCCATGATCCATGTTACTCCTCCATCCAGATCCATGTTACCTGCTTACTCCTCCATCCTCATCCATGTTAGAGTATCTGGTTACTCCTCAAACGTCATCCATGTTAGAGTACCTGGTTACTCCTCCATCCAGATCCATGTTAGAGTACCTGTTTACTCCTCCGTCCAGATCCATGGTAGAGTACCTGGTTACTCCTCCGTCCAGATCCATGGTAGAGTACCTGGTTACTCCTCCATTCAGTACCTGGTTACTCCTCCATCCAGATCCATGTTAGAGTACCTGGTTACTCCTCCATCCAGATCCATGTTAGAGTACCTGGTTACTCCTCCATCCAGATCCATGTTAGAGTACCTGGTTACTCCTCAAGCCTCATCCATGTTAGAGTACCTGGTTACTCCTCCATCCAGATCCATGTTAGAAAACCTGGTTACTCCTACATCCAGATCCATGTTAGAGTACCTGGTTACTTCTCTATCCTGATCCATGTTAGAGTACCTGGATACTCCTCCAACCTCATCCATGTTAGAGTACCTGGTTACTCCTCCATCCTCCCATGTTAGAGTACCTGGTTACTCCTCCATCCAGATCCATGTTAGAGTACCTGGTTACTCCTCCATCCAGATCTATGTTAGAATACCTGGTTACTCTCCATCCAGATCCATGTTAGAGTACCTGGTTACTCCTCCATCCAGATCTATGTTAGAATACCTGGTTACTCCTCCATCCAGATCCATGTTAGAGTACCTGGTTACTCCTCCATACAGATCCATGTTAGAGTACCTGGTTACTCCTCCATCCAGATCCATGTTAGAGTTCCTGGTTACTCCTCCATCCAGATCCATGTTAGAGTACCTGGTTACTCCTCCATCCAGATCCATGTTAGAGTACCTGGTTACTCCTCCATCCAGATCCATGTTAGAGTACCTGGTTACTCCTCCATCCAGATCCATGTTAGAAAACCTGGTTACTCCTCCATCCTGATCCATGTTAGAGTACCTGGTTACTCCTCCATTCAGATCCATGTTACTTGGTTACTCCTTCAACCTTATCCATTTTAGAGTACCTGGTTACTCCTCCATCCAGATCCATGTTAGAGTACCTGGTTACTCCTCCATCCGGATCCATGTTAGAGTACCTGGTTACTCCTCCATCCAGATCCATGTTAGAGTAGTATCCTGGTTGGTTCCAGATCCATGTAGAGTACTCCTCCTCCATCCAGATCCATGTTAGAGTATGTTACTTGGTTACTCCTCCATCCAGATCCATGTTAGAGTACCTGGTTACTCCTCCATCCAGATCCATGTTAGAGTACCTGGTTACTCCTCCATCCAGATCCATGTTAGAGTACCTGTTTACTCCTCCATCCAGATCCATGTTAGAGTACCTGGTTACTCCTCCATCCAGATCTATGTTAGAATACCTGGTTACACCTCTGGTTACTCCTCCATCCAGATCCATGTTAGAGTACCTGGTTACTCCTCCATCCAGATCCATGTTAGAGTACCTGGTTACTCCTCCATCCAGATCCATGTTAGAGTACCTGGTTACTCCTCCATTCAGATCCATGTTACTTGGTTACTCCTTCAACCTTATCCATTTTAGAGTACCTGGTTACTCCTCCATCCAGATCCATGTTAGAAAACCTGGTTACTCCTACATCCAGATCCATGTTAGAGTACCTGGTTACTTCTCTATCCGGATCCATGTTAGAGTACCTGGTTACTCATCAAACCTCATCCATGTTAGAGTATCTGAATTCTCCTCCAAACATATCCATGTTTGAGTACCTGGTTACTCCTCCATCCGGATCCATGTTAGAGTACCTGGTTACTCCTCCATCCAGATCCATGTTAGAAAACCTGGTTACTCCTCCATCCAGATCCATGGTAGACTACCAGGTTACTCCTCCATCCAGATCCATGTTAGAAAACCTGGTTACTCCTCCATCCAGATCCATGGTAGAGTATCTGGTTACTCCTCCATCCAGATCCATGTTAGAGTACCTGGTTACTCCTCTATCTGGATCCATGTTAGAGTACCTGGTTACTCCTAAAACCTCATCCATGTTAGAGTTTCTGGTTTCTCCTCCAACCATATCCATGTTTTAG